CAACCGATGTCAGTGGCGTTCTTGTTGTCAGTTTCTATCCAGATTGCCTGAGTGAATGTGTGGAGGTGTAGGCACCTCGGAATGATTGTGTTAAGCTAGCACTAAGTTCGTTCCCCATCCACCTTTATTCTTTTCTTTACAATAAGGCTTTCAAATAAGTCATGGTTGTACGGCATTGAAGCGTCGGTGTTGAACACTGATGTCATGCTGTCGATGATGATCATGATGAATGGATCACTTGGAAGAGACTCCAAAAGACGATTCTGGTAAACCAGTAACATCCGGATCTGCCAGTCTCAGTTGCCGAGCAATTTACCCGCACCTTACGCGGCCCTGGAAAACAAATGAATAAGCGACCGCGAACAAGTGCGTGCTCGGATTCTACAAATGTGTTCCAAAACGAACGGTAGTCAGTTATTGGTTCTCACCATCGGTAACTGATGAGAATGTGATCAATTTCAGTTCGTAGCCGGCACACTTTTGGTGGCTACCATGTGGCCAGACGAGTTCGGTTACTTCAGGAGTTAGTACTGCATAAAAACAGCCTGAAGTAAGCACACAGCTAGGGAATCGCTCACCGTCGTCCGTCCGTCCGTTCAAACCAGGTAGACCACCTAGTTGAGTCTCAGATGCGTCAAACCTGCCTACAGGGCATTCAGGGCTTCATAAAACTTCTATGGTTTCAGAGCTTCAATCAGTTGGGGCGTTAGCAGACACGACAAAAACATTGATCAACTTCCCGCTTGTGCGACACCTTCACACACGTTGCCAGACAAACCACACAACGAGTGTCCAGTCAAGCAAGGATCCTTTTCCGGTGAATTAGGACGATCCTACTGCAGCAGCTTCTGAATCGCCTGAGGTACACAGTCGGACACCGCCGCTACTGGATTTGACCTTCCATTACGATTGTCAGGTCGGTCGGGTTTCTGTTGTCCTCTGTCCTGTCCAGCATGGGACTTAGAGCAGTTGATTTGACGTGTCACATTTTTCCTTTTGGTTGGCAATCGCTTAGCTGTAAGACTATTCTGGTGGCTAGCTGCCATGCCACCCGAAGAAAGCGTGAGGGCTGGGATACTGCCAGGTAGCCCAAGCCTAGACAAGGGAAGTCGAGAGGTAGAGGTTGGTTCGAATCACGGACCTTCCGGTCAGTAACTTCGCGCTCTAACCACTTGAGCCATCTGACCCCAAACTTGAATATGACCAGCGCATGATATTCACGTGCTTTTGGGGGCACCCCCTGTCTCTCAAGCGTGTTGAGAAGAACTGACCGCTCTACAAAGCCGAACTCACTCTTGAGGTCAAGGAACACCGAGGTTATTAGGCGTCTATACCCATGCCGTTGCTCGAACACCTAAAGGAGTGTAGAGATGTGGCCCCCACAGCCACTCCGTAATCCTGTTTGTTGTTTCCGGAGCCCCATTTTTGTGCATCTTCGTAAGACGTAGAATACGCGACTTCAAGAGCCCATTTACGCTGGGGGCAAGCTAGTTCCTCTGTAATTGCTACACACTTCGAGCACCCCTTTTGAAGCACCATCGACTCACCCCCGTCATTTAGGACGGGTTCTTTTGCCCAGACAGTGGGAAACTGGTTAGGTGAGTGTCTTAATACAGCGGGTTGGGGTCCGTCAGGATTAGTAGCCCTGTCATGTGTGAGACAATAGGCATTCGCTTATTTCCAAAACCCTAGGATTCCAAGTTCAATGTCCAGAGCTGCGATGCGGGTCAGGAATCGGACTGGACAACTGCAGGCGGTCCGTTGAATTGACCATGTCTATTTGTGTTAGAGGTTGGCTCTCTAAGGGGTACCATGTGGCCCAACAGCTTCCGCTGTTTCGGAAGTTAATGTCGCACAGAAACAGTCTGCGGTTAGCACACAACTGTAGCTGTCTTTCTCCGTTGTCCGTGTATCTCAATTCGGTCCAAGGCGATCACTCAATAGAGCCTCAACGGCGCCACGTCTGCGGCAACTAGAACAATATCTCAGCCCACAACCGGGCACAAAAAGGTGCTCAAAGCTTAGTAAAAGCTTTGAGTGAAATTGGTCGGATGTAGGCAGATGCAGCTAGCAAGCGACGTTTATTGGCACGCTTACGGGATATTCTTATAGACTGCCGAACGGCCGCTTAGAATCATGCCGACCGAAGTAAAATGAACCGCAGCGGCTTCTGGGTCACCAGAGGAGCGCAACCAGATGCAAGAGGAAACGGATACAAAGAGGCATAGCACTTAAATGGATGTAGTCCATCGTACAAGCAAGAGCAGTCTGTTGCCCAGTTCGTTTCAGTGTGAACGTTAGAAGCTGCGGGTAAATGAAGCGCCATGGTTGTAGGGTGACTTCGAAGTATCTGTGGCTGTGAGGACCATAGATATTGCAGTTACCGATCGCTGACGGGTATTGAACTTGTCAGTTCTTAAGAACTGATCTACGGAGGTGTTGCTGAAAACGCAGTGAGAGGAGACGAGCGAATATGTGAATGAGGAAGAGGTTAAGTGTGAGCAGTAGCCTGTTTTCGCCCACCCACTCTGCTGTATGCAGCAACTAAGGCGACCACGCGAAGGCCGATGTAGTATGAGATTACTTGCAAGTGTGCCATTCATTGTTTTACATGGGCTGGTATGCTGCCAGGGTGCCCAGACCCAGACAGGAGAACGATAAGGTTCTTCAGCCGAAGCCTAACCACAAGACATTGATGTTTGGCGGGAAATGCCAGCCCGTTACTGTTTCAAAAACAGATTGCTTCACATGTTCCGACCCCAACCTGGAGGACCAGAAGACTTTTTCAGTCCGACATCTGCCCAATAACCTGAAATTAGGGGCTTCGTGGGTGTCACACACACGCTCAGTGTAGCTCAATGGGTAATAAAGGTACACAAATCGTCACATCGCGATCAGGTTTAATCTCTTCGTTACAGACATGTTTCAGTCGTCCGGGCTCGTTTTTGGAGGTAATTACACCTAGCTATTCGCAATGCTCTCTTGTTTTACACGAGCCAGTGAAATCGCTCTTATGCGACCCTCGCACTAAACCCCTGCAATACTATGAATGCTGAAGGCCACTGTTTTCTGGCGTATAGCAGAACGGAGCGCATGGAGGCGTTGCGTATGTACCCTTTCCAAAGAGCATACGTCACGGATCGTATTAGTTCGCATGTGTACAGACTCATCAACTCTTCACTAGCGCTAAAACAGCCCCGCTTGCATTTGAACTTGTTTACCCATTTTCAAGGTATTCTCATATCGCAGTTCTCATTCTGGCTTCTGGATTCATTTGACAGCCGGCCGGGCTAGTTCCAAAGAGCAGATAAATGTTACATTTACTGCGGCCTCATGAACGGGCACACTTTGCGCTCTAGCAGTGATACGAATCCCGTTACCATCACTTTCTCCAACGAGTCAAGCTGGAACGTGCTTCTCCTCTGGTATGACTATGAGGTTAGTGGTATTCGCTATGATTTTACACGGCCTGAAGTCCTCCAGACTTATTTCCCCCGTTCTGATCTCTAATCCTTCAACTGTTTGTGGTTTCCTTACTCCGAAATTACAACCGCCTTCAATAGTGGTAATACATCATTAGTGGAAAATGACGCTCAACTGCCATACAACCACGTAAGAAGAAGACTTTAGTATACGGTGAAAACGGCGGCGTGGGGACTTATTCTAAGAATAAATCCGGTGTCCCCAAAGAAAACGTCCTAGAGCCAGGAGTCCACACTTTCCAAAACAATTGAGATAAACACACCTAAGGATCAGGTTGTAGCAAAACACCACCAGCTGGATTGACACAACGTCCTTTGTGAACTTCACCCAATACAAGCCGAGCACAGAACTACAAGCACAGCTAGGCAGTCTGGCTAAAAATTGGTGAAAAGTCCGTCTCTGGGGTCGGCTGTTTGTCACGTCATGTCCTGTAGGGTTTCCAACAATTTGCATGAAAAATCACGTGAACTTCATTCAGGAAGGCGCGAAGTCCCATAGCGCTCATATTCACAGTAACTGCTTTCCTTTCCCGTTATGGCGTATCCTCCCCAAGCTTTTCTCCAGAAAGGTTTGAAGCGGAAAGAATGGTCTTGGTAGGAGTTCGCGGTGTATAGGTAGTACACGACCCATCCACCTTAACCTTCTGCTCGGGTGAACCCAACTCATTGCCTGGTACTCAATTAGGGAAATTTTTCTTAGTTCCTGCTCCAGCTAATTGAAGCCTATTGTATTATGGAAACAGTGGTGCTTAGATACCGGAAGACGTTTCAGGTCTTCAGATCGGAAGGACCAATTTTCACAGGCATAAGATAGGACTGCTCTCACGACCGCTTTGTAGACATGGTTTCTTGACCTCAGTGCTATTCGATCCTCTCGCCCAAAGTGACGGAAGTTGGAAACTATTGCGCGTGTAGTGTTTTATGCGTTGGCTTCCTGTCACGGTGCTGTCTGATTCTGTTGATTGATCAGTACTGTTAACTACACTTGCTCAACAGGTTATGCCCCAGAAGTTTGTAAACATAATCCGATCCCTATATTCACATACTTCTGGGTGAGTGACAGTGTATGGTGAGCTCTCCAAAAGCTTTCCTACGAAAGTGGTGTCAGACAAGTATGTTCACTCTCTCCTTTCCTGTTCAACTTCGTAATTGATTAAATAATGAGGCGAACACTGGATGGTCTCCAAAACCCCGGTGTTCAAATTGTTGCTGGCGAGAGCCTTGTCGATCTGGAGTACGCAGGTGACATCGCCCTCATATTTGAAGACCAAAGCGAGGCGCAAGCCCTATTGAATCGACTGATCGCCATCTTTTGGCATGCACCTCCACCTTCAAAGTGCAAAGTCATGCTTCAGAACGTGCCGTCTGTGATTCAAGGAGAACCACTGGAGATTGTGGAAAACTTTACATACCTCGGTAGTTGTATTAGCTCTGACGGAAGTGTGTCTGATGAAGTCAGTGCAAGAATCTCCAAGGCTCGATTCACGTTTGCTAATTTGCGTCACCTGTGGCATCAAAAATGCATCCCACTGGATCTTAAAGGTCATGTGTACCAGGCTACAGTAAGGGCTGTGTTATTGTATGGGTGCGAGACATGGCCTCTGCGGGTAGAAAATGTGAGGCGTCTTTAGGTTTTCGACCACCGATGCCTCAGAAGCGTGGCTGGTTTTGGATGGCGTCAGCGTGTTAGTAACGAGGTGATTAGAAAACGGGTATTTGGTTGTGCTGCAGGCACCTCAGTCCGAGAAAACATCCAGCATCATCGATTACGATGGCTCGGTCATGTGCTACGCATGCCGAAACACCGTCTACCGAGACGGGTGTTGTTCTCCGTGCCTCCTCCAGGATGGTGAAAACCGCGAGTTGGGCAGCGCATGACTTGGCAGAAAGGTGTGAAAGAGATCACGAAGAGTTTGGGTGTTGTTGGTGTTGTATGTCTCCCAGGATGGGGTCCCCGTGACCCCGTCTGTGCTTTGCTGGAGTCGTTGCAATAAATGGCGGCTAATCGATGTCAGTGGCGTTCTTGTCAGTTTCTTTCCAGAATTGCTGAGTGAGTGCCTGGAGGTGAAGGGACCTCGGAATGATTGTGGTAGGTTAGCACCAAGTCACTTACCCCTCCACTTTTACTCTTGCTCATAATAAGGCTTTCAAATAAGTTATGGCTGCACAGCAGCGAAGCATCAGTGTTGGTGACTGATGTCATGTTATCGATGATGATGGTGATAAGGATGATCAGGTGGAAAGGTTTATTTGATGTACCAGCTTCCTACATTTCCAGAATCCTCTAATTCCAGCGCGCGAAAAATGCATGAGCTGTCATCTAATAGCCCTTCTGGTCGCAGTGTGTTCATTGTTAGAATGTATGTGACATTGTTTCGTCGAGCGGCAGTGACCATTCTGAAATCCAGCGCTTATTCTGTGAAACTTCGAAAACACCACATGTCCAGTTCTCTCCCATACGAAGAGTCCCAGTTACGATTGACGTCTCTTGAAAATTTGGGTTTTAAAGCGTCGCGTAAATTTGTTTGATAAGGCTGTTTTACTCATGGACCAGAAGGGTTTTTTATGGTTAAACGAGAGGTTTGTTCTTTAGGTCCATTTAGAAGACTTGCAGATAATTTAGACTGGACGACAGCGTAATCTGAATAGATGTGAGCGGTCCAGAAAGCTCGACAGTCAAGAGGGAAGCTTCACCACTGGATTATAATAGCTATGCGTTCACTCTAGTCCCATGGTTATTCATCAGTAGACGGACGTCAGGTATCGCAATAGCCTGTCCTGGAGAACAAATGGCGATCAGTGCAAAACTGCAGAAGACTATCCCCATCATCATTATCTCCTGAGTCCATGCTGACCAGACCACTAACTCATGCCTCTGATAAACTGAGGCGTCCCACTTGTGCACTGAAGTGGTCGATGATCAGGACAACATATGAACTTGTGCTGGCTAGGAGAGTGGTGAGTTCCCGATACAAAACATCTTTCGCCGAATCAGAGCTGCAGTTGGTGCAAATGCAGAAACTGCAAATTCAGAACGGATATCATTGCTGTCAGTGCTGCTTACTATGGAAGCCGATAAAAATGGCTCACAGGGATCCAGTCGAGTATGGAAGCCTCAGCTCGAGAGCTGTGAGCTACACCAACACCGGCGCAACCGGCGATAGCGCCTTAATAACGACGGTGCCCTATGCTCCATATCGTACATGGATTTGGTATTTGACTTTGGAAACGTAGCAATTATCTATTAATAAGGTGTCGATGGTGCGCGCTGGAGCACCTTGTGGGCCGATTTGCTTCTGGCTTTGCACGTCAAATATCGCGATAAAGACAGGAGAGACAGGTCTGAGAAGCGGACGTGATCACTGACATTCTATTTTCACTTCTTTGAATACAAGCCTGTCATGTTTCCAGGTGGTGAATACGGTGTTAGTTCGGTACTTTTTAAACCTCTTTAAAGAAAACGGGGAAGATCGCAAGTTGTTCGATTTCATTTCTAAATCGCATGCAAATTTGGGATTTGAGGTTACAAATCACACGTCCCAAAATAATTAACTGGCGGTGTGCTGGAATAGACCACGATTGAATTTGTTGGTAATTGGTTGGGTGGTTGTTGATCTCTCCATCGAGCTTGTCAAATGGTTTGCAAACGTTTAGTCACCGTCCGGAGAGACATCATCAGTGCTCGGTTGCTTGGGTGGTTCCTCTCTTCGTGCTTGAGCGTACGTAGTTTTTAGAGTATCTTTAACAAGATGGCTGAGGAACAGCCAGCCACATTAGAACTTTAACATATTCTTTACCAGGCGAAAAATTGCAGTTAGCCGGCCTAGTAAGGAATGTGCGGCAACGTCTATTATGTTCTGTTTATGAACTGATTGGATCTGCTTTGAAATATCTCAACGAACTGCCTCGCTTGACAAGGTATCAGTAGGCTTCAACCGAGCTCGTCACATACATCGCATAGGAATACCGTTATTCAATTTCTTGCACCAACGCCCAACTAACCATAATGTATATACGAATGCCTAGCGTGATATGTGCAATTTCGACGAATACTGCATGGCCGTCTAGTTTTTATCAGGAATCCTTGGCGATGCGTCTACCACCTTTGTCGTTGAATTTGATCGTTCTCTCCCACTGTACAGAAGGCTGTTTTCCACGTACTTGGGGTGCCCTAACTGTCCAGTCTTGCACTATGTTGATTATTTTACATCCATTCTATCCCTTGGATACCGATGACGCTGTAACGCGCCTCTTGTGTTCCAGCGGTAGGGGCTTTTGTAGACAACTACCGAAAGCGACCCGTACGAGGGTCAAGCACTGAGCATGTTGTAGATCTTTTTACTTGTGTCTTAGGTCGTACTAGAATATGGTCAGGGGTATCGATTTCAGAAGTGTATCAGAAATTGTAAAGATCGAAAATCGAAAAACTTTACTGTGAAACACTTGTAAGTTGTTTCGTGGTCTCTACTGATGTATCAGTCAGACTAGTCTGTTACACCGAAATGGGTTAGACAAACGACTTTGAGGAGGTTGCACTGGAAACAACTTAACCGTTCCGTGATATGGATTCAAGTAAACCAGAATATAAATAGAGCTAGAAGTTCAATAGGATGTCAGTGAAAGGCTCAAATCGAGAAAACAAGGTTTCGGTCTACAAGAATATTGTTAGTAAAGTGGGTTTGTTCGTTTGGAGACACTCTTCCTAACAAGTTTGGAGGACAAAGAAATTAGTTGACCGACTTAAAACGGACGGTCGCAACAGACGCAAATGAACTTGAATCATGTGAAGAGCCTCACGAGCATATCTTGACCTCTGCCTTGACGAACTTTAGGTACCAACTGCCTCGGTTTAAGGGTTACATCCACTTCAGACAGGCTTGGAATATCGATTTGTGTAATAGCAGATGATGTGGTCTCCCACCTATGAGGAGAAAAACGAAAATAAAAAGGAATCAAATTAGCATTATTTTTTGAGCAAATCGTTCTTGCAGAGGATCGTTTATTCACCCAAGCTCTGTTGCAGTGTTCTACCTTACAACACTATGTCAGTACAGCTATCGACATTTTCAATTCGACGTTTTGCTGTCGGTGTGGTAATTTCTTCATCGGATCTCGAATGTCACTCAGGTTGTGAAACCCAGTCGGATGCCCAGAGCTCCAATTCTGGTGCGACCAATAATTCGCACCACTAATAAGGTCTGATGAGGACTAAATTCGAATACAGTTTTTTCTTTGATGTAGACTAACGACGAAAGTTACTTCATAAAGGAAAAAGGAGTGCTCAAGCACAAGTGGAAACAAACCGGTAACCAGCTTTCTTACTTGCAGACCAAAATACACTTTTCATGACGGAACCAACTGCACTTATTCGTTAACTTATTGTTTCTTCCGTTTATTAATCAATACCGGTCATCCCTTTTTCTCGGGAAGCTATTTCTAAGCATGCATGCTATAGTAAACCGGCTGTGCGTTCCATCACACTTGTTTTGTTCTGTTGGCTGGCCACTGACCACACCGCTGTATATTTGTGCACAGTAAGTCCACCGACATTATTGATGGTGATGATTGGTGGGTAGAATAACCTTGCTGCATGTTTTCCACGTGCTATTCAGGGTCGGTGCGTCCTGTATGCATCCATCAGGTCCGGGCGAACGTGTAGTTTGTTCAGTTTCCTCACGCATCCTTGGGTTGCGGTGGACGCTATTTCCTTTTGCCCAATGTCGCTCACGGTCTCTGGTCGAACAGATGATGCCGATGCAAATCCACGGGAATGGACAAATCTGTGTGTATTTATCCCCTCTGAGAGATATCTTTCTTCGCAGCAACCCAGCACTATTTCGGTATCGATCAAGCTCCCAGGTGGGTTGACATATGACGAAAGAATACCTAGGAAATCTGCCCGATGCGGTGACCTCATCACTCTACATCACTTTATAGTGCAGAATTTTTAGAACAGCTGTCGACCGATTTGCAGCACTATTTGTACTGTTTATACCTCGCATCAACCCGTCGAACTCCGTCCACTAGGGCATCGGCAGCTTACATGTAGCGCTGCGTTTCCCCTCGCATAAACCACTTGTGATTTACTTACTGTGCGCAGGCATCCAGTGGATCACCATTGTTGCTCTGTTGCAACCCCAACCTTTGTTCGCCCAGACATTCTTCCAAAGCTTTTGATCTATCCTGTTTCCCATAAGGGGCGTGAACCTTACTGATGTTGGGACCTAAATCGGATACACACATTCACGCCACCTAGTTTATATATGCTTGTACTTACCTACGAGTCGATATCCGGCTTACTATCTTTTACCATTTACGTTGTGTGTGACCAGTTCGTGAGGTGCCAAAACCAGTTTATCCACTGTCTAATATTATATATTTTAAAACTTCGCAATACAAACCCAGATGTGTGTGTTGTGTTAATCAGTCCTTCCACAAGGAAATTTCTAAACACTTGGAGAGAAGTCACCACGGAGAAACGATTCTGGTTTCTTCGAGAAGAAAATCGTTCAGCTGTAACACCCTTCTGCTGCCTAGCTGCCATGCCACCCGAAGGAAGCACGAGGGTTGGAGCACCGCCAGGTTGCCAAAGCCTAAACAGGAGAAGTCGAGATGCAGAGGTTGGGTTCGAACCACGTACCTTCCTGTCAGTAAATTCGCGCTCGTCTTCAAGATACGGTGTGAGACTCAGCATCAGTGGACGAGACTGAAAAACTGCACAAAAATTATTCGACATTCCAGAAATTATTTTTAAACATAACATGCAGTGTTTTTCTTGATACAATACTACTTGCGGCATTACTGAAAACTCTTTGATAGCCCAGTGTATTTAGTAACCCTCAAATCACGTACCTTCTGTCAGTAAATTCGCGCTCGTCTTCAAGATACGGTGTGAGACTCAGCATCAGTGGACGAGACTGAAAAACTGCACAAAAATTATTCGACATTCCAGAAATTATTTTTAAACATAACATGCAGTGTTTTTCTTGATACAATACTACTTGCGGCATTACTGAAAACTCTTTGATAGCCCAGTGTATTTAGTAACCCTCAAATGAGTTTGTCTCCTGGTGAAAATATGGTGCTGCTTCTGCTCAATATTTCCAATTTTAAACATAAGTTGCTTCAAAGCAAGCCGTTTGGGTCCCTGGATGGCGCGTACATCATCTGTTCGCCTCACTTACCCGATGAACCAGGCAGTTTAAAGTCCGTATATCCAAGGCAGTACCACTGGCTACATAACTGATTCATGTTTTTCCATATACTTTAGCATTTGTATGTTAAATCCGGGGGTCATCATCCAGGCGGAAGACAATTCATCAGTTAGGACCTTCGCACAAGGTTGCTGGTCCTTGCACAGAGAGCCTGCACATGACCAGTAGAAGAGGGTACTACAATTCGGACGAACTTCAGATATGCCGATCACCTGGCCTCATGAGCCTATTCTACAAAGTTCGACCGATTCTTTTGTCATGGACAAGCACCTTCTATGTTTGCTGATCCGGTGCTTCATTCAGATTGGGCGGATGCTTCGGATATGCCGGTGGTCCGAACGTCAGATGGGGGAAAATACTCCAACTGAGAGAAATTTAACTGTTTTCTAAGAAGGACCAAGTGCAGAGGACCAAAGGAAAAACTGTTCCTCACGTAACCAGGGATCTAAAAATCATTGTGGATACTTGTGGACCTTGGAGTGTTTTCTACTGATGTGGAGATGATGGACGCTGATAAATCATTCTACCATGCTTTAAGTTCCCGTTGTCCAACCGTCTCTTGCATATATTCCAGGTTCTTTGGTAGCCGATGTTGAGTACACATCTGCTGCAGCAAGAGCGAGATGATGGCAATTAGTAACCCACACGATCGCACCCGGTGACTTGTAAAGGATGCATTCTCCACCCGTTACCAAGATTTTTCCCACCGTGATCATTCTACGGAACAACACACTAGTTTTCAAACGACCCTTGTAAGGCCTGATCATTCGTTACTGCTTAATTACTCCCTTTCTCTGTGTTGTACTTCCGATTTGACGTAATAGATTCTGCCTTCCCAAGTTAAATTATAAGCCGCTTGGTGATTCTCAAGAGATCTCCGTGTGTATGCCTGTCGATACTATTGCTTCAAGGTTAAGAGGTCATCTGTACCTCGTGCGTAGCATCACATTTAATCCCGCGCAATATGTGAGCCGGCATTCTCCTACTGAACTCTGTCAGACACTTGCCATCCAAGCATCTGCGTCAGTCCTATTCTTCTGGCTGATCAATCGAAGATTAGGGTTGTCTCCAATCCCGATCAATAACTGACTCATCCCTCGTAAGTCCTCCTTCGGTTGCTTCAACGTTTTTAAGTAGGAGACTGAAGTTTTATGCCCGTCGTACTACTCACCTTCTACAACGACAATAATGCATTTCCATTTCTCCGACAGTCCTTTCCTTGGCTGACCTATGCAAGCGCCGTGTTCAAACAATGTTGCCTCCCGACTGTATCAGACAATTGGACTTGCCACAACTTCTCATCAATACTTTGCTTCGACCTCTTACAGTCCCTTGGGATCGATTGGCTACAAATCGGACCTGAGCTGTGTTCCCTTTCCGCTGGTCATCATTAAAAAACGGCTCGCCAAACTGTACATATTTCCCCGAGCTGTGTTTCTCTGGACATGTAGATCTAGCTAAACACAACAATTTCAGCAGAGATCCCACAAAAGATTTGTTTCCTTATGTCTCTAATGCCTAGGATTTGGTATTTGTACTCAAAGATTCAGGAGGATCAACAAATTACGGCCATTTATCCCCTGAAACCACGTGTCGTGTCTATTTTGGCTCTCTCTGTATTGTCTTACACGGGTCCGTGTACGTGCCCAATCAGTTAAAAACTATTCCGTGATTTGACCAACAACCGACATTTTTGTCATTCTAAATGTAAATTAAATGCTGTTTCATATATAAATTGCAACAAATAGTCTGTAACTCCATACTGGTGGCTTTCTGTAACGAAAAAGCTTCAGATTATCGTGCTTCAGCGAGCTTCATCATCGCCTGGGGGAAGTGGTACGACACGTTGTTCGGGAAGAGTAGCGGTTTATCTTCCCTGGTGGCACGTTTGTTTACGTGAGCATTTAAATGTGAAGTGGAGGTTTTCCAACTCTTATGCATGGAGCACAGGAAAAAACGTGCGTCAGAATTCAATGCATGAACTTTGGGAACTTGAGTGCTTTCAGAAGGGATCGACTGCGGTCTAATACATACGGATGTGTCAATACGCAAACAACTTGGCTTGTCTTTTTCATAAAGGAAACTACTCACAAGGTCGCTGAAAACCGGTTTCGTCCTTCTTGGGGCTCATCATCAATATCATAAACGAGAGATTCAGTTGAGTCTCTCGTGAAAACCAAATTGGTTTGCGAATGAGTGTATTTCTCGAAAACTTGGCTTGTCATAGCAGACAAGGGTTCCGGTTTTTTTAATAGCTCCATCCGTCCTCTATTCGAAAGAGCTCGGTGTTCCCACCGTTTAATTCGTCTCCATGGCTATCGTAGTAGGTTTTTAGTGACCGTGAAACCTCTGCGAAGCGTATAATGAGACCGTTCCAGCTAACAAACATGGTAGTCCGTTTGCCCAGTCATTCTGTGGTCTGTGCAAGTCGTAAGAACAGTGACCAACACATGTTAGGCGCCCCAAGCGACCTCTCTCGGACGCGATACTTGCACTAACAAACATGGCAGTCCGTTTGCCCAGTCATTCTGTGGTTTGTGCAAGTCGTAAGAACAGTGACCATCACACGTTAGGCGCCACAAGCGACCTCTCTCGGACGCGATACTTGCTTGCTTGTACCCAATGCCAACTCAGTCTTGACCGCTTTCCTTAGAGTTGAAGATTTTTACATCTGGCCCATATGTTCCTTGTTTCTCTATTTCTGACCACGGCTACATGTGAAACAGTTATCAATGTTGAATAATCGTACCATGCTCCGTCTCTATAAGACACCATTCTGGAGCTTCTCGACTGTTTTTATCTTCGACGTCATAACTGTAAGTTCGACCTCAAACTAAGTCAGAATCTAACAAGGGTATGGGTGGGTTGTGGGTAAAACATATAGGCAGGGCCAACATTCCAGAAAGATTACTAGGCTGTACAAGATTGTTTACTTTTTCCCTCAAATCTAGTAAAATAGTTTGGTCTTCCCTAGCTCCTGGAGAAGCCGTTTGCCCACATAAGTCATTCTGCTTTGGGCACATAGCTTCATGATATATTCCTTGTTTTGAAGCGCACGCTTTGCCTGACATTGGCTAACGACGTATACGCTCTGTTGTGCTTTGCTAGTGTGCAAAGTCTGGATCTCTTTGGCAAACAATAAGCAGTTCCGTAGAGAAGCTACCAGTCAAACCACCGACTGAGCAAACGATGGGCCGTGTGCAGCCCTCTTGCCCTGTTTTGACTGAGTGGAACTTGCTTGCTTCGCCTTACCTATCGAGCTGAATGAGGTCAAGGTCACAGGTGAAACTTATAAATTCATACGGTGGCTTTGCTCATGTTCGCATGTTACCAGGATGGTTGATAGTATGGTGGATTCATGTCACACAAAAGTGTCAAAACTGTCCCCTTAAAAGTCCAAGCATGGTGTATTTTGTGTAGGTGAATCAAGGACTGTCAAAGCTGTTTCGTTCTTGGCTGTGTTGCCTAGAGGGTGTGAGTGCCTTACCGCCCCCTCGAGGTGTCATTTTGGGGAGATCGGAGCATTTCGGTACGGGAACTTCTGAAAGTGAGTACTTGCAAACGGTGTTCTGGGTAGGGGAAGCTATCTGGGGGTCAGATTTGACACAAACGAATGCCGTTTATTAGCCGAACTAAATAAAACCAACTAAATCATGTATATTATGCACTCAATTGAGATCCGCTGTCGAGGGATTGACGTCAGAAGTGTGACTCTCTAGCCCGGACATCCAGTCAGTTCGTTGCAATCTCAATTGAGATCCGCTGTCGAGAGCTTGACGTCAGAAGTGTGACTCTCAAGCCCGGACATCCAGTCAGTTCGTTGCAATTGGGATGAACCGCTTATCCAGTACAGAACAACTACTTTGCAAGTAAATTGTTGTCTCAGCAGAAAACTTTCAAGCAACAGACCCATTTCCTACGGCCAAATCCGTCTTATTCAAAAGCGAGTTAGTTTTGCGATTTTCCCCTTTCTAATTAATCATCCTTAAATGACGTCCAAATGCTTGGTTTTTAGCGTCGTCAAGTTTATTGTAGAAAACGTGCCATTCCTGTGAGTATGCTAAGGAAGTTCTGTATCTGAGATGTGCGAAAGCGTCCATGCAGGCGACTTACCAGATGAAAATTGGTCGAATAGTGTGTCTGTGTTATCCTTCACCGTATGCTGTAATCCATTTAGATGTTCCATTGAAGCAGTGTCCAAACGACCGAACCCGATCTGTGACTGAGTGACATCTGTTGCCCATTCTGTGATACGTTGTATGGGCATTTATGTGATCTTACAGTTGGGTCTTGATCTTCACTGCACATTGTTGTTATCTTCATTTCTCAATCCTCTTTATGCTTCGTAGATACCCAAGTTCCAGAAGAGTCTTGTCCCCTCACCGAGTTCGACTACCAGAATTTCGGTCTTTCGAAATGTGAAATTTCTTGTGGGAACGGCGATCTTATAGTCGCGTGATCTAGTGACTGGCTGAGGCAAGCGCGTGACCGAATTCAATTATCCGGAAATAGACAGAGCAACAATATAATCTATAATCTCAGTGTTCCCACCAGGGATAACTATGCTGATCAAACCGTCGGATGATAGACGAAATTCTAATTCTTCCTGAAGGATACTACTCATACAGTTGCTGAAAACTTTCGACAGCAACTTAATGAGTAACGATCCAGTCTGGTTTTTGTCGGCAGACTCACCTAGAACCCAGCTGAATCTCTCGTTCATGATGTCGAGGAGTTTTCAGCAAACTGATGACTAGTTTATTATGCGTACACAACTTTATGAGTATTTTCCTTCAGGAATATATGCTGGGATCACTCGCATATGTACCAACTGAGACCTGAGGCAGCCTTTGTGTAGCACATTCACAGACTGCCTAATTGATGAACAATTTTTATTAATGATTGGTAGATCTAGTAGGAAACGTTTCATCAGCCAATCACCTCTATGATTTCTCAGTACTCCACCTGAACAGCCGTTCACAGTTTGCTATTCTTACTAATGGATTTAGGATTTTCTCATCTTGGACTGTAGTGCGAACAAGTCTCAATGGTCTTACTGAGTACGTTTATCCATGTCTTCAAAAGGTTCTGCATGCCTATCACCTTTCAGAAACGTGGCTTATTTGGTCGTGACTCTCCCAACGTTTTCCAGACTTCTAGCATCCAAATCCCCCAAGTGGTTTGGTCCCCGTAATGCATCATGTGGATTCATTCCTGGTTCTCTCCAGAGTACATGTTGAGGAAGGCAGCTGCCTCTCGACCAGCTTTGTATTGGCTCCGCGAAAGGCGCCCATCGAACTTGATCCTTATAACATAGGAAAGGGAAGGATGAAACCGAGAAATTAGTATGATCAACCCATTGCTCAAAGTAGTGAAAAGAGCAAGTTAAAACGGTATTATAGCAGATGCCACCAGACGGCTTTGTATGACAGAAACTGTGATGCTTATAATTGTTGTTTTCAAATTCGTTGAACACCAGATGCTCCCCTTATCGAATAAGCAACTTGGGGGATGTAACCATCATGTTCGCAAGATGTCTGAAAGGCTGATCTAGGTGGGCTGTGCTGAGCTGTTCCAAACTGACTTAGCCCTCCTCCCGTACTTGAGGCTTGGAACTTCTTTCATAGTAGGCTTTGTCGTTTTATTGACTTATGTATGCATGCTATTGGCAGACGTTCACCCGATGAGCCCCAAGAGGAGTGAAACCGATAGTGGATTGTCGAGGAGTTTTCACTAAACGTATGAGTGGGCGGCTTACAGAATAGTTTCAGGCACAACAACTCTTTCGAGGATTGCTAGGCTCATGAAAGTTCCGTAAGACTGTACATTTATGATGAACTGACAGGGTGGTCTATGTGCCTCAACTTGTCCCCTTTTTCCAGTTACACATGGACTAATCGTGTGCTTACTTAAGTCAAAGAATCCACCTGGTCGTTAGTATTTTTACGCTGCTCTTGGACAAGTTTAATTTTGCAACCAAAACTGTGGCTTACTCAATGAAGTAGAATTCCATCTACGACCACGAACAATTTCTTTCTCTATCGAAACTAATTTGTAGCAATCATCTGATCCATGTTTAATCCAAAAATACCATTTTAGGTCTTCCTCATAAAGGGAACTACTCACAAGGTTGCTGAAAACTCTGTGACAGCCCACGACCGGTTTCGCCCTTTTTGAGACTCGTCAGGTAGGCGCAGTCCCAAAGTTTCCGTCAGCCGCCGAAGAGTTTTCAGAAACCTTGTGAGTAGTTCCCTTTATGAAAACATACTGCGATATCTCGAATATCGCAACTGAAACATGAGGAGGCCTTTGTGCAGCACATTCAATTGAAGAACACCATAAACGAGAGATTCACTTGAGTCTTCCGTGAAAAACGTAGTATGTCCTTAAGACCCCATTAGACAGTAATTTTGGTCCAAGGAACTCGCCTTCGGCGGTTTATTTATTTCTTTATTCAATCTCCAACGATGTCCATCGTATGCGGATGTTCGGAAACGATGAACAGTTATCGACCCTCCCCAGAGAAGTTCGCCATGCAATATGTCTCTGATACACAAGATGTCCGATCGTTGAACTGGCAGCCACTGATTAACCTAATCAACTCCTTCGTCTCCCAAATAGGTACGACATCACAGTTTCGGTCTTACCTTATTGGTGAAGGACTCAAAGTAGAGAAGTATCCACTGGATAGAGATATCTATCATCCCAAGTGTTCATCAAACGCAACCGTACCATCTTTTTTTGACCACGCATCACGTTGCAAATCGGTCTGAGATTTGCTGGTGGCCTCGGAGACCATATCTCCTGCTCCCATTACCCTTCAACCTGCTCAACTGGGTTTGTGCTTATCAGTGATCCCGTCAGCTTTCAAATTAAAGGATGTCAGTGTCGGTCGATATACTCTCGCCGGCGGTTTATTTGCAAGACAATTATACGGTATTTGGAATAAACCTGGATTGAGTTTCGCCTTACTTCTCTGGTTCACGTTAGGACCACACTACAGCTTAATCGCTGGTGCAGTAAAATCATTTGTGAGTATTAGCTGTATCTCCCCACCATATTTTAATTTTCCTCTTTTCTGAAAGGAATGTGTTTTTTCACCTAGTAACTCACAAGCTACCGGCGGTTAGTACCTCACATGTTATTGTCTGTTCCACACCACTATGGGGACTTTACATTTGTAGATTGACGAATGCGGCTGAGTGCATGAAATCATAATGGTGTCGGATTCTTCTGAAACCGGGATATACCCTATCTGGTTATTTAGTTTACGTATGCCTTCTACGGATTGCATTTTACTAGGGGTGCTTCGAGAACCCTGTCTGTTGTCTCAGATTGAGTGAGTGCTTTGCTACTACAAATAACTTTCACTAGTTATAATTCTCAAAACGACAACGTGAACGGTTTCTCTGATTAGTTAATATTTCGTACAGTCCAGAAAGCGATAAACATAATGAACAATAAGCAAGTCAGTCTTGGCCTTGGTCTTCCTTTTTGTATGGTTTATCCACATTTATCATTCGTCACCGTGTCACAGATTAGCTTCCATACACTTTCAGATTCGTAGATTGCGAGTTATACCCCACTTGGGATCCCGTCAGGAATAGACAAACAAATAAAATGCGAATTTTCAGGGATAAGAACGCAAACTAGTCGTTTGCCCATTTTCAAAAAAAGGGGCGCGTAGTGAGTGTGGTAACCACAGGGGGATCAGCCTGACCCCGGTTGTAACGAGACTGTTGGCGTCAATTGTGCTTCGTCGCCTTACGGTGGCTCGTGAGATACTGACCCGAGAGCAGCAAGCGGGATTCCGGCCTGGTAGGGGTTGTGTTGACCAAATCTTCACACTGCGTCAAGTGCTAGAACAACGCCATACGTATAAGCGACCCACGATTCTAGTATTCCTGGATTTCCGAGGCGCATTCGACTCGGTTGATCGGTCTGTTCTTCTTGAGACGCTTGCCCACCAAGGAATGCCCCGGAAGTTTGTAAACATAATACGTTCTTTGTATTCTCAGACTTCCGGACGTGTGAGAGTGTACGGAGAGCTCTCCAAAAGCTTCCGCACACAAAGCGGTGTCCGTCAGGGATGCCCACTCTCTCCATTCCTTTTTAACTTTGTGATCGATGAAATAATGAGACGAACGCTGGAGGGTCTCCAAAACCCTGGTGTTCAAATAGCCAGTGAAGAAAACCTTGTCGATCTGGAATATGCAGACGACATCGTTCTCATGTTCGAAGAGGAGGAGAAGGCGCAAGTATTCTTGGATGAACTGACCAAAGTCATCCCGTCCTTTGGTATGCACTTTGCACCCACAAAGTGTAAGGTCATGCTTGTGGACGTACAGTCACTGAACACGCCACTTACAATCCAGGGAGAAGTACTGGAAGTTGTGGAGTGTTTTACGCATCTTGGTAGTTGTATTAGTTCTGACTGTAGTGTGACGGATGAGGTGAATGCACGAATCTGCAAGGCTCGGGCCGCGTTTTCTAACTTGAGACACCTATGGCGTCAGAATGGTTTATCCCTGAATCTGAAGGGGCGTGTGTATCAAGCTACAGTACGGGCTGTTTTGTTGTATGGCTGTGAGATTTGGCCTATTCGAGCAGCGGACCTGAGACGTCTTCAGGTGTTCGACAATCGTTGTCTGAGATCCATAGCTCGTGTGGGTTGGTGTCAGCGAATCCGTAACGAGGCGGTTAGAAAGCGTGTTTTCGGTTGTGTAACGGGTACTTCCATTGAAGAATGTGTCCAGCACCAGAAGCTGTGTTGGTTGGGACATGTTTTACGCATGCCGAATCATCGTTTACCGAAAAGAGTACTATTTTCTATACCCAATTCGGAGTGGCGTAAACAGAGAGGTGGCCAACCCTTGACTTGTCAGAGGAGTATGAAGGAGATCAAGAAACGCTTGGGTTCTACTCGCCTTCCAGGATGGGGACCGCGTGATCCTCACTGTGCCTGGTTGGAGACACTACAAGATATGGCTGCCAACCGATGTCAGTGGCGTTCTTGTTGTCAGTTTCTATCCAGATTGCCTGAGTGAATGTGTGGAGGTGTAGGCACCTCGGAATGATTGTGTTAAGCTAGCACTAAGTTCGTTCCCCATCCACCTTTATTCTTTTCTTTACAATAAGGCTTTCAAATAAGTCATGGTTGTACGGCATTGAAGCGTCGGTGTTGAACACTGATGTCATGCTGTCGATGATGGTGATGATGATTGCTGAAATCGGTCAATAAAGCCGCTCCACACGCGACAGAATTCCACCATCTTGATCTGCGAGGTAGCATACCATAACATGGTTTAATTTAGTGCTGCTGGTGACCGACAGTTTTCACTGATTGGCGTTTACCTCGCTAGGTTTGGTGATGGGGCCAAGTAACTTACCCTGTCCCTCTTCCAGTAATGAATAGTGAATGCTACCTCAGCCTACTCTCAGTGGCCCTATCACCTACAGTTCAATTGAGTGAGTGAAATGCTAGATCAGACTTGAGTCTGCTTCACTCCGTATTGAAGAAATACAGAAAGAAATAAAGCTTGTCTCTTGATGCTTCCATTTTTGTGCCATGTATCATCCGTACGGTGTGCGCCTATTTTACTTCAATATTCACAACTATCTGACGGGCTTGCACATATCAGGTGACCCGATATTAACACTGTTTGAATCCGGTCCCCTGAATCGATCGGCCGGTAACATCATTCTCTCAAACTTACTTTAGTATTCCGTGAGCGACCTTGTATTAACAGCACGCTGTTCCTATACATGTGAACCATGAATCCACAAAATTTCACCTCCCACATGTCTGTGCTGGAAGTGGCCAAGCAACTACGAGTGCGCAGAATGAACCTCTTACGCACTCCCTCTCCAAGCCTCGTCGCCCCTGGCATACAGTGTGGAGCCGCTCTTGTCACGGAACTAGACGCCTATCAGCGTCGTATTCATGAGCTAATTCATTTTATCGACGGCATTGCACAGCACTGGTGGGATCGCCTATACCAATACAAGTTCAATCTTGTTAAGCGCCCCAGTAAAAGTGCCGAAGAGATTTGCTTTTATCGCAACCGATTATGGGCGCACATGCAACATTTTACACTCCGATCTGTCGTGCTAGCTGCGTCTGCTGTGGCCACTCTTGAACAACGATCCGCTGCAGATAAACTTTTGCCACCTATTAACGTCTATCTCAGTCCGACATCATACAAGCTAAGGGACGACAGTGCACTTTTAGAAGCAGCCAGTAATTTGGCTCGTCGCCTTGGCAATGTTGAATATCTGAAGCAGCGCCTACTTTTATCCGTCCTAACTTGGATAACTTCCGACGGCCGTGACTTTGGATTGAGGGCACAACGGGTTGCACACCTTGTTCGATACACAGAGCCATGTTTGATTGAGAAATTCTCGGGTATACAGGCGGTATTAAAACAATACTATCGACCAAATCAATCGACAGCAAATCTAAAAATCGATGAAAAGGCTGAAGTCACCACAGCCACCAGACTAAGCACGACGAACGCACGCATAATGGAGGCAGTGAATTGTGTCTTTCTACAAGCTCATCAGTATATTACCGTCCCTCCGACAGTAACGCCCGGTACCTGGGAGTATTTACTTCCGGCTTATTCACCTGTCGGTTCTCCTTCGAACTGACATGTACACTGATCGATAAATCTTTCGATCTTTACAATTCGACTGCCCTTTTGTTGTTAAAAGTTGGTCGTTAACTCTTAAGCTGATTTGGACCGTCAGACCAAAGCTTGGAAAACACATGACACGGTTTACAATGCTCACTCAACCGACGCTACCGGTTTCGCCCCTCCTGGGGCTCTTCAACGTTTTGGATATTGTTTCAAATGAGGCGGCTTTGTGCAATACGTTCGCTTGAAGTTCACCATGAATAAGAGATTTAGTTGGGTCTTCCGTTAAACTTCAAATAAGTATATAACTTGACTTGCGGTAGGCTATTCATAAGTCCCTATTCAAATGAACTGGCACGGTTGTAAGGCAGTGAAACATCAGTGTTCCCATCTAGTAATGCTGTCACTGATGATGCCTCAAAACGTTTGGTGAAGTCCGTGGAGGCAACAAATAGATGAAGTTCTTTGAAACTTCTTTTGAAACCAAATTAAACCCGTCATCGTCATAATAACAGTGACATTGGTAGCTCCAATACCCTTGAGAGTGCGGAGGGCAAATGTGAGTTTCCTTAGCTGGTAAATCACTTCCACAACTTTGTAGGGACATCGCCCACCATATTGAAAACCCATCGTCGTCATCAGCACCAATATAATTGTCATCATTTCCTTCACTTGCTGTACCTAATGATTCACTGCTGTACTTAAGGACCGTAAACCAAGCCAGATAGCGTTGAATTCATTAGATTGGTTGATTAATGTCTGTGAACCTTAGGCTATTGTTGAAAATGAAGTATCTGCTCAACAATCACAATTCAGATCCAGTTCTACTGAAGTCCAATCATTAGTGAGCACTTTAGAAACCGGTTGTCTGGTCCTCTAATTTTTAAGTCTTCTTGGACGCCCAAAATGGTAGGGAGAAAATACCGTTGGTTCAGTAGGTAGGTGAACGTCAAGGGCAACCTGGCAACTCTCGTATAGCTGGACCAAAAACACCACACTGCCTACTCGTTTAGGAGTCGGTCATCACTTATCGTGATCCTGTGTCATACCCCGAGTGATGTTAGCTCCAACTGCATTCTTCAGAACAGGGGTTGACCGTCATCGTATTCAGGACCATAAAATTCAATTGACCCATTTTCGAACTCGTTTCATTCGGTGTTCCATATTGTCAGGGATTTGGATCTATTTGTACTCAACAATACGCGTAAGCAGCTTTATAAACTCTTGAAAATCTTTTTAAAAATCCTACGAAAGATATTTTATAAGCATAAGATTTGAAGAGTTATGTGAATTGAAGTTTAACCCCGAGTGTGAATGTAGGCTAACCGTGGCGCTCATATGAGCTTGTTCGCTTGGCAAATTCCCTAAATTTTTTGATGAATCTGTAAGGTGCCTTGCTTACCACAATTCACCATAAACTTCTCATATGTTGCGTAAAATTCTGATACAACCACTTTTTTCGACTTTCAAGGCAACGATTTGCAATTCAGATCAGAGGTAAATAAACCAGTGAGCTGAGCCCATACAAATGACTTTGTGTAATATTTTTTCACCTTGGAGGTCACTACTCATCACTTTTTTTCAATTTCAGCATCTGTCAGCCCATTATGTTACCAATAGACTCATACTTCTTAGACACGACAAAGAACAAGGAATGTTGCGACTTTTTGAGCGCTTCGACGTTTGGTTATCTAGAACTCTTCTGCTTGTCTAGGCCCGAATGTCTCCCACTGCGACATACACAACTCTGAGCTGGGTGCACAGAGAGATCATTGTTAAACTTTTACTTTCACAACATATCATCCCTTGACCACCACAGGCATCAAGACTGGCGATGGATTAGACTAGGTAGTTAATGGACAACAAAAAAGACTAATACAGAATAATAATAATAATAATGATAATAATAATAATAGCAACAATAATATGGCTGTGGCAGACTTTTGGTGCCTAGGCACCATGTCACCCGAAGGAAGTGCGGAGGCTGAGATGCCGCCAGCCTACCAAAGTTTTGGCAAGAGCAGTAAAGATGTTGAAGTAGGGTTCGAACCACGGACCTTCTGGTCAGTAAGTTCGCACGCTATGTTCTGATTATACTACTGGAGGTATAGGCACCTCTGAATGATTGTGGTAAGCTAGCACAGTCCCTTCCCCGTCCACCTTTACTCTTTTCTTTACAATAAGGTTGTACAGCAGTGAAGCATTGGTGTTGAACACTGATGTCATGCTGTCGATGATGATGATGATGATGATCGAGCTGAGCGTTGTGGAGATCGACCTATTTCTTCTAACCGCGGTAATCTGACGCGGTACTTATTTATAGTTGGTAATTTGGCAAGCAGACCAATCTGGCCATCTAATCTGTTCACAGACCACGCGACGTATACCGTTCCACCCAGCACGTGACCCTTTCTTTTCGTGCCTAACTGCAGCACATTTGGTTTAAGTGGCAGCCTAGCCTAGCTGCCATGCCTTCCGAAGGAATCACGAAGGCTGAGGTACTGTCAGGTTCCCCAAACCTAGACAGAAGCAGTCGAGATATCGGGGTTAGCTTCGAAAGTTCGCACTTTAAGCGCCGAGCTATCTCCAGCTCGTGTGTAGTGCTGTGTGGCGCAATTAGCATACACTAAGCTTTGACGGCAAGCAGAATCATGCAGACCTATTGTCCGTTTTTCTTCTGAAATCTCCTCTTTTGTGTACGGTGAATTGCATTATCAACTGTTTCACTGTTTCGCTCTGACAGTCTGATGGCTCGCACAGATCTCTTCCGTACTGTTTCCTCTACATATCATCATCATCATGATGGAAAGAGGAAGAAATGGAACAGATGCGACCCCATGGAAATTCGGTTCATTCGTTTTCACAAAATAATTGCTGACTGTACCACTATTTTGAGAAACCTTGACCGCTTTTGATCCTGACTGCTCACTTTCAAGTGAATTCATAGTCAAAATGGTATCTAGCGCGATAATTTCCTTACTTTGAACCACCGTGGTTTTAGGCAGTACAGTTCATAGCATAGAGTTACCGCAGGCGCGTGTCCAACTCACATTTTATCGTCGTACGATCTGGTTGCAGTACATACAGTACATACAAGGGCTTCATCGTTCTGACGCTCGCACTGACTGAATTCGAGGTCACTTACCTGGGTGATGTGCTCTGTTTCTGACAATGATTGCAGATAGTGCCGGCATTCACTGAAGTGATTATGCCGCAATACGCAGTGCTTGCATAGAGATGTTTGCTGAGACACCCGAAGAGTCTTGAATCCGGCTGACTTGAAATCTACATACAGTTTGTTTGCAGTTTTTTTCGACAGCTTCAGTTGCTGGGGTGTTACAGTTGTGTGGTACTGTTGGCTTACGTGGTTGGAGCGCGAATTTACTGACCGCAAGGTCTGTGGTTCGAACCCGACCTCTGCCTCTCGACTTCTCCTGTCTAGGCTTGGGCAACCTGGCAGTATCCCACCTCTCGTGCAACCTTCGGGTGGCATGACAGTTAGGCACCGGAAGGGTGCTACGGCTGAAAGGTACCGTTGTGTGCAGTACTGTATTCGAACGCTTCTTACCTTAACAACTAAAATATTCCGAAACAACTCTTATCGGCAGTTTTCTCCTGTACAGTGTCCTGTTAGTTCCCGCAGTTCAACAGCGTATAATTTCATGGACTCTTCACACGGATACCGGATTGAAATTGCTGTGCCAAAAAGGAGAAGCTTGGACACACGTGACAAAAATTCAACAAATTTTCATTGTTTCATAGGTATGGGTTGACTAATTCACTTATTAACGTATAAGTTACAGGAGCGTATATTCTTAATAGGGTGTCCACATTGTGTCAATCCTCATCACCTTAGACTCAAAGTAATGTTCTTACGGACCAAATGACGCGAAGTGTTGCTTCAGCTGACCGGATATTTTGCTGACCTTAGTTCGTCGAGCACGTGCAAGTGTCCCAAAGCAGAACGAATACATATGTGCCAGGGCAAGCACGGCGGTTACAAGGGCCGCTTGATATACGTGTGCATAAAAGTCTATTCCAAAGGGAATAGTTAGTCCGGTCCAGCTGCGCGCAGGGTGGGCACGGCCTAGTCTTAGCAAAACCAGGTTCGCCCGTTAACACAGCAACAGAGGTATGTAAAAGTTCACGTGTGTGATGGAAAACTATTTGAAATGCACTCTAGTGATTTCCGCTTCGTACATGTAAAGTTCTGTCGATATTCCACTATCCTAAGAAGAAGAAGACTTTGTATAGACGTAGCACACTACTGATAAGGTTGCTGAAAATTCTTCAACAACCCACTACCTATATATTTGTAATGTACTACTCATAAGATTGCTGAAAATCCATCGACAACCCACGACCGGTTTCGCCCTTCTTGGGGCTCTTCAGGTAGGCGCATTCCCAGAGTTTCCGTCAACCTCACGTTCTAATTGGACCCAAATTTCACGAAATTTGACAGATACACTCATTTGCATGCCAATTTAGTTTTCACGGAAGAATATCATAAACAAACGATTTAGCTGGGATGCAATTGAGTCTCCAGTGAAAACCGAATCGGTATGCAAAGGGGTATATTCGATGAAGGAGATTTGTAAACTACAACAAAAACAGAGGAAAAAGAGAACAGCTTGAACCGCTGGACGTCTTGCGTAAAGTTAGGCTAGTTCATGGCGAAGAACGTGGGTGAGAATGCAGTACTGCCATATGTTATTTGGCAGTGCATTGAGCCACAGGCGTGTGTGCACTGTCGTACCACGAAAAGTGTAAAATGACCTCATGTATAAGGGAAAAACAGTGACCTGAAAGTCCTAGCAGGTAACACAAACGTAATTTTACCTATCATGCGTGATCCGTCATACAGTACCAAAGCCATATAGACACCATGAGTACGTTAAGTTAAACCCCATTACATTTGAATTTAAAAAAAACTGAAATCTACGGATCGGAACAAATGGATGATATCGCAAGTGCGAGCTTGGTAACTAGTGATCTATACTATATTATTCCTCCGAAACGTCCTTCCAAAACTGACAGACCCTCTACGGTGGTCATTCTTTGATTCCGTCAAATAAGTATTGTCTCGCATAAAGTAGCTCCGAATTCCACATGGTTGATTCTCTAAGATTGATCCCGAAAGCTAATTTCAAATTGTCACAAGTTTCATTCGTAGAACACAGCTGGACTTTGAAGCAGTCCTTCTATGGTGGCTGTTTCTAAATAGTCCCGTCATTGTTAGCCGTAGAATGGTCTTAGAGCCTGGTTTAGCTGTCAACGAACCTTCGCCTTCTTTCGACTAGTCGACGAATCAATGAACTTTGACATCGTAGCGCCATTTTACTCGATGTTCTGGAAACTAGTCTTCTTATTCAAAAACTAATGAGGAGGTCAGTAGCAGTAAATTAAAGTATATTGGATTTTTGTGGGAAGGTGTGTTAGTGTGTTAGTGGTTCACTGCGTTTTTCCCACTGACGCCTGGCGTGGTCTTCCTAAAATAAACATACGGTATCTTCGTTTTACTGTGAAATCTGGTAGTTTGGGGATATTTCATAACTATAATGTTACGTTAGCTTCAGACTCATGTCCCGGAATTTGTCTACTCATTCTACTCCACAGGTCATTCCTTCCTTTACTTGTAGTTGCAGTGAGTGACACATCAGTAGAACGAACGGTTCGACGCCATTCTCTGTGGATCTTCGAGCATTTACCAAAACGTGCAATCGGTCGACACAACACAAAGTCTTCGATTGAACGGCATGTTGTCGAGATAGATTCTGATGGGGTTTTCAGGAATGTTAGAAAGCAAAACCAATGCTTTGGATGCTTCTTCAGCGATACCGATCGAAACCTGACAAACGAGAGGTTTGGCACAGAATTTGTTGGTTCGCACCACCAGACTATTTTGGAACTAGCCCCCACTGGACAAGCCGTCTTCCCCGTGTATCCAATTCATTTATATTAACTGTATGCCATATGTTTGTTATTGTGCTTCTGATGTGTGATTGTGGAATACTTTACATCCACGGTGTCTGCTTTCAGGGACATAATTGTTATCAAAATCACGAACAAGTATGAATACAGATGTTTCAGAAACAGAGTAGCGACACGAATCGGAACATGCAATCTCATTGCAGCCTAATCTATCTGTCTATGGAGCTGGTGACCAAGCTTAAAAGTATATGGCACGGATTCAACTAAAAAATTTTGAACATTTCCTTCGAGATTAGTGAATGAACGCAAAAAACTGGGTTCATGCGCTAAATTATTCAGATGGTACGGCAGTGACTGTCGAGCAAACCTTAAGATGACCACAACGTATCCAAAAAGGCATGAAATGCAAGTCAGACTCACAGGAACACTTACTGACAAAAGAAGATTCGGTAGAAACCACACCTTAGTGTCGAATCCTCAAGAGTGAAGTGAATTGTCAAACTCAAAGAAGTCCATCTAACGTTTTTTCCCTTCGCCTTAACGCAACGAGCGCATTTCGAGGCTCCTGCAATTTTTACGATCAGAAAGATAATGAACTATTCAAACCAACTGGACAGGGCCAGCAACTACATTCATCCATCTGATCATCGGTACTAAACACTTAACACTCCCAGGTTACACTTTCACCAGTAAATCGTTCAGATCACCACTACGCAACTGATACATACTCAGGAAAATGAGTGCCCCACGGATCTTCATGGTCCCTCTGTCCCTGTAGTCCATTACTTGTTACTATTCGTTGTTAAGGTGGATCTTGGCAATCAAGATTTTGCATTTTATCAGACGTCTAGTCGGACCGTTGTGCTCTGTGAAAACTATCTGCCCAAACGATGGTTAGTTTGACTTTCAAGTTCATGATCATCTAGATTATTCTGTGCGGCGTTTACTTGTATGTCGAAAGGCCAGTTGGTTTATCAAGATTCATTGCCACATGTACCCATTCTGGCTTTGGTTGGATGCCTTGTACAGCCGAACACATGTGCATGGCATAGGACTGAACATTTCAGAAGTCTATAAGTTGCCTGTACACGGCATGCTAGGCTTCTGACTCAGTAGTATGAGTAACGTTTGAGACATGATAAATTGGTTTCCTGTAGGCTCATCTGATAAATTCATAAGTTGAGCTGACGGGGATTTCCATATTACCGGATCAGTGTATGAGAATTTTATGATCGGCAACAGGCGAGCCTACGTTTCACTTTAGTTCGTTTTTGGTTAGATCCTAACCGGAACAAAATAGAGTCTGATAACAGGATGACTACTTGATTTGGAAAGGTCGATCGAAACATTTACAAAAGCCATTTCTGGTGTGACAAACTCAGCCTACCTTCGATACGGAGGCACGGTAAAGCACGAGACTACATGATGTTTCGAAATCCCGCGGAAAGTGAGACTAATCTTGGCGTTCGGATTCGCAGTCAGTTGTCTTTGCACAATTTTTGACGAGCGGAGCAGACCTTCAAACAGTCTTTCAAGTAGAGGTCAAGTGAGTGTTCACTCAGGCGCTGGAATGACCGTCTGATGGTATATTTTATCTTCATGTTGTGCAGGGGCCTTGTCAGGCCAATCGATATGCACCCATAAGTTATTAACAGAAGGGCGGCCCATATCTTGAATGCCACTTCTGACCCGCTTGCACGCCATTTCTCTTCAGACTCACTGAAAACGGCCACTCCCCGCCACGCTAGGAAGGCGATGGAGATCAAATGCTCGAAGAAAGCATTTAAGTCAAGGTATATTCATGTGCGCTTCTTTCCTACCATTGTACGGTTGAAGTGTACTCAGTAAACAATTCCTGGAGAGGTGAGTAGAATTCGTGCTTGTACTGTGATTTTGGGGATACTTAACTCCAAGACAAAGGCCTAGTCGTCAACGAAAACAATTTTTAGAGCGATTGTTGTTGTATGCTACGGACTTTTTGTCACTGACCGACATCGTTTTTAAATCGCGAGGTTGTTCGTTTTCAGATGAATTCGAGTGAAAATAAAAGTTTTGATAATGTGCTTTCAAAGTGAAATCAGAGGAAACGAAAAGGTATAAGTAGTGTCAACAAATCCAATTTAGGCCACTCAGGCAGTTCATTTCGAAGCCAAATCCTTGTCGGCAGGCGAAAGTCTCCCATCGTCGGCCGAAGCCAAATCCTGTATTTGTACGAGAAGACAAACTTAAACGAACTAGAAAACATTTCTTTTGAAAATAATACATTTTCAGTGCACGCGGATGCTGGATCCTGTACAGCGTCTGGGAGAAGTTTGCCTCTGCAGAAGGTGCTACCAACTTATTTTTTCTACGAGATTTCTCACAAAGCATATTAAAATTCTAGAGGAATATACGCAAACTCCTCGGCAGACAACGCCAAACAACATGGACTATGCCGGAAACGTTGAATTTGAAGGCTTTGTGATCTACAAAAGTTTCAGTGAGACAATTTGGAAAGTTGACAGATCCTCTACGCTGGTTCTCAGACCACAAAGATAGATTTCCCACCCTGTTAACCGATTAGGGGAGTTTATATCGAAAAAACAAGATTTGAAAAACCGGGTTTTGGACCCCATGCAAGCCACGTCGTTACAAACCTCTGCTTTAGACGTCATACTCAGTTGGTCGTTTGGAAAGGTATGCCAGAACCAAAATTATACGGTCATCTTCCTCTTCGGATAATGTGACTGATGGGTGCCACCGTTAGTGTCCAGTTGGTATTCCTAATGTCTTCAACGTAAAAGCATCTGCTACAGTACCAAGAAGTTCCATGGACGCTATAAACAAGTCCAAAAATGCTGCTTGGTTTCAGGGTGACGAGGGTCTACCACGTCCAGATATATACATATCGAAAATAAATATTCTAAATTCTACAGACCTGACTGAAATTGGTTTCCATGAACTAGTAGCGTTAGGTTACTACAAGCAGCTGATACATTACAAGGAGGTGACACATCTGCATGAATTATTACTGGAGATCATGACTGATTGTGTGAAGATCATCCGAACGACTTTGGAAGGGATGGTGGTTGGTTGATTCAGGCGTACGCTCTTGTGTCAGAATAATAATGGAGGGCGTTCTAAATACGTGCGTCATTGGGATTATGCAATCACCAACACTGTCATTCCAGTGAAGTTTCCCTGCCACAAGTTTTAGAAACAAGTTCCCATCAGTGTCTTAATAATACTCCATCCAAACTGAGTGGCCGCGTGATATGGAGGATAAAAAGCATTAACTGGTACTTTCTCAGTGAAATTAGATGCTTCAGTGGTGCTTCTATGAGGTTAGTCGACATACCAGTTGAATAAATTTCGTCTGCTTGTTGATAGCGTAATTCCTACTTGGCCATACGCCAACTTGGCCTCACAGGACTGACCAGCGATCTGTTTATGCTCACTCAGGATGTTGTCATCTTGAGTGACTATAAGGTGCACGATTTTTTTCAAAAATGTCGAAATCTCTGGTAATATAACCTAAATCATACATAAAATCATAAATGGTTCGTGTGTAACTGCGGTCACTCCAATATTACTTGATATAGTTCGTGAAATTCCGATATGGCTCCGTCAGTTTTTCTACCCCCGCCCAACTTAGGACACCCAAATTCAAGGACATATTGAAGAGTACTTCTGCCGAATCTACGATCGACATCATTTCGGTACGATGATGGAAACGTGTGCATTCGACGTACACAATTCCTCGTGAGACTGACTGTAGTCTTTCCGTTGTTGGTTATTGAACTTTGATGAGCTATGCCTCAGATGCGAGCAAAATATTACTTCATTTGAGCCTACTTTTATGATATTGCCATCGTGATTACCAATGGCAGATAGCTAAACTATATATGTCCAGAAGCAGTAGTAAGCACCAGGTGCGAAATGTCCGGATGGGTTTTCAGGCTATCGACAGGAGGAGACAATGATGCCGTTTAGTCAGAATTTCCAAAACCTGATTTTCCGTTACTGGCCTAACCTCATCAACAGTTATATCGAACAAACCCACAGCCTCATTGCCATCGTAACCGCTGTACCCATAGGTCAACCAGAGCCAGATAGAACGGCCTCATCTTGGATGATTGCCTTCAGTGTCATTGACCCTAACTGAGGCTATACCTACAACACCTTCGTTTTGCACCGATCCCACTACTTATGTCCTGTCCGCCTAAACAGCACAGTGAATGAGATTGGTGATCATTGCTAGGGTTTCCCAAGCCGATACGAAATTGTCGTGCCATCCAGAAGGCAGAATTCCAACTAACCTTGCCACAGTGGACTTGACACAGTAGCTAGCCTTGTTTATGGAGTCGTAGGGATATGAAGGAACTCTACGCTTCACTGCGCGCAGTGAAAGTGCTTACCACCGTGTAAGGTATTCGGATGTCTCTAATACATAGTTTCAGTGCTGCTTTGGGGCTGCGCTCACTAGTGTCTTTTGAAAAAGAGATTTAGGTCTTTTGGACCGACCTTAGACATTGGGAACTTCGTTGGCTATCTTCGAAACAATTAGTATCATGGCATCGTAAACGCTGAGAAACATTCATAACCATATTTGGTAAGCGCACTCGGCGTTTGATGAAGTATCGTTTTCCATCCCTACATTTTCTCTAGCCACACAATTTTTACTGAGGACCATTAGATTCATTACCTGCGGTTATTGTGGACTGGGCGTACGATGGAATCACCTATCCAAGTAGTCTTTTGTGTTTGGAAGACAAAAGTCACAAATCCAAAAATACGACTTCACTTGCATTCCTCTGCCTGTTACGCTGCTCTTCATTGTGTCCAGAACCGAACTACCTCACAACCCGAAACTGGCTAGGCCATTGATTGTGTTAGGCCGACTGCGTACATCGACCGTTGGTACCAAGCCAAATGCCACCTGGTGAATCATCGTTACTAAAGCTGCAGACGTGCACTACTGCAGAAGACTAGCGAGTCACTGTTGAACTGCTAAGTCCCGGGAAATTGCATACCCTGATTGGCCCTATTGTTACTGAAAACTCACTGAAAACTTGGAGAGCTATCCGAATAGAAGGGTGCTTTGCAAATCCCCTAGTTAAATTCTGGTTCTGTTACCCGATGCGTACAGTAGGTGGTTGGTCTAATTCCACCCCAATTCGGTGAATTCTCTAAGGATGTGCTTTTATCCGAAATGTTGAGAATCAAACCAACCCTCATGAGGTTTTGAGGCATTTAAATTGCTCTCTAAGGGTCTACTTTGTAATGTGAGCATACAACAAATGAGAGTGAAAATTTATAGTCAGGATGTAACCTGGTGTTACTCAAGTTTCTTTGACAGAATGAGGTGCTGTCAGTTCATTGTATCCTCAGAATTGTCGACAAGGAGCGAATCAAGTTTAAAGCCATTCCCAGAGCCTAAGTGACAAAGATTTTCATAGGCGACTGCTTTGACATGGATATAGCCACATGTTTAGAATATTTTCATGATATTAAATACATTGAACGTAGTACGGATAAAATTGGCCATATAATTCGAAGATCCACTAGAAGAATGTGATTGAAAAACGTATCGTGAATCAGTCCTGTATCGACTGATGCATTCTGTTATTTGAGCAAGTTTTAGTTCATCTTATTGGTTTCAGTCGGCCTTTTTTCCTGTATCATTACTCGTTATTTCAGTCTCCCATTTAAGATCATATCGAACACGACACCAAAGCAATAAGGTTTAAGGCAAATCGCACGCGCCTTCAACGTGAAGAAACCTGCCCAGCGATCCTGGCTATCCCTACAGTCTTACTGCACCTGATAGACGATTTTCCGGTCTCGAAAATTGACTTCCAGAGGTGTTCAACTCTCCTACAGTTTTTTATGATCAGGTTTTTCCTGAAGCGTGAGACATACACTCCCGCTAGATATTTCCAAACGCAATAGTCCCTCTCTCATTTAATCACCTTCGGGAGATACCGAAATGTTTTCTGTACAGAGGATTTTGCTAGGCGAAAATGCATTTGTTAACAACTGTTTCGCACGCGTTTTTATTATTATTAGTGTATTGGTTATATCAGGATACTTCAGACAATTTTGAAACACTCGATGGGGTATTTCAATTAGTATGGAATAATGAAACTGGGCATCCACCAATTCTGTATAACTTTGAAGAGGGAACACGGTTAACTGATGTACTAACCATCAGCTCCTATAGCTTCAAGTACAACGTCAGGGAATTTTTGTGCAGCCTACCTAAACTCAGTGTCACAAAACGAGATAATTCGTCACGAATATATGTTCGAATATGGTGACAAGCACGAAAGTATTTGTCGGGATCTCAACGGATACTGAGTTATTTTGTACTCCCCTCTCCTGTGTGACATCAATCTAGGTTCCAACAATTGGTGCTGTGCATATTTACGGGGCTAAACTGTGGCAAAGGCAGTCGACAAGTGTCCTCTAATGTATAGGAACAATTAACCAGGCATGTATATTTTGTCAGCGTTGGGCCCGACACCAGTATGAAGAACCACTAAACGGCATTTCCATCGTAAGGCTTCTTCTTAATAAGTAAATAAGTGGTTCGGGAATAATTGGTTCTCGGAAAATGCCTCCTCAAAGAGATATTTTCTGTCTCTCTTTACAATGGTCGTCTTTCTGCCTCCACCCTCCCCTCGGGGGTGGTGTTTTCGTAAACGGGTGATGCATACAAAACACTCAGACAAGATTCCTATACTGTTCAACGTCGATAGATTCGGTTTTTCCGTATGTTGTACATGAAGAATTTGGTGGCTGTTGATCTGTTTACCGAGCTTGGTAATTGATTTGCAGACGTTTCGTCGCCATTCGAGGAGACATCTTCAGTGCGCTGGTGTGCTTTAGTGTGCCAACAGCGCACTGAAGATATCTCCTCGAATGGCGACGAAACGTCTGCAAATCAACTGCCGAGCTCGACGAAGAGATCGACAGCCACCTGATCAAATACCAACGATAGCACGCGAGCTTCCAATTTTCCGACACGTTGCCAACATGAAGAATTAGCCTTCCGATCATTGGCAAGTGAACAAGGTAACCCGAAGAAACTTTCAGTTAAAGCTTCCCTATGGTTTTAAGGCAAAGGTTACTCCTCAAAGTTATGGTAATTCTGTTAAACTGTTTTTTTCCCAATCGATTCCACCGTTTTATCTTTATGTTTCGCTTTTCTTATGATTGATTCGATGGACTAATCCAATTCGTAATGCAGAACCCGCTGCTTAGTTGAGGTAAGAGCTCACAAGAAGATCACTTTAATTATGTAGGAGGCTTCCTAAAACTTTCGGATCTTAGCTCTATAAGGTGGAATTCGTTTGGAGGGATCTCCATATATGGGGTTGTTCTGAAATGACTTTGTTCCCTTCCGGTATGGGTACGCATCTTATTTCATCCACTCAATCAAATTGCCAGAGTTTATCTACGGTGTAAATTTCCAAAACGTTGGTTGGTGCGAGGACAGGTGATAATTTAGCGCGATAGATACGGCAAATGATGGGAAGAGGATTGCCGCTTTCATTGCACATCTTAGGTTGAAAACTTATTCCTCATTAATATGCTTGGAGTGAGCTTACCCAACGGAAGTGGATACTTCAGTGAGTCAGGAAAGAACTGACAGCTTATCAGATGCTAAGTAGAATGCGTGAAAAAGCTAGATCAGCTTTCATAATGGCACAGAAAATTCAAGGCAGTAAAATAAAACTGTCACTTTCACCAAGTAGGTGATTCACTCTGTCGATCGGTGAACTGTTGTCTTGCTGTTGGGAATATTTTAAAGGTTGTTTGTACGACTGAAACATGGCCTAAGGCTAGTATGCATGAGAACATTCAGACATGCGTATCAGCTTCTTCAAGCTCCACATGACTGTGGTTTTGAACCAACTACATCGATCGATATATCAATATTCCTCACTTGTAAAAAGTTCAGGTGCACGAACAGGAGTGCGTTATCGGCCCAAAACCCTGCATACTTAGGGCTACTCAAATCATCAACCAACTACTTGAAACAAAAGCATATTACCGCGTGGTAATTGTTTACGGAAAAACTACCTAGCATACACTGAAAAATGGCACAAATACGACATGTATTTACTGCCTTGAAAACCGTTTCCAGACAATGTGCACCGAATCCGAACAATAATAATAACCACACACTATTTCGACCTCTGGACATCTCACGTGCTCCAACTCCAAATATGCTAGGTTCCGGTACACAGTGTGGCAGTGCGCTTGCCACGGAAATCGACTCCTACCGGCGTCGAATTCAAACACTTCTTCATTTCTTTGACTGTATCGCTCAACACTGGTGGGATCACTTGTATCCATACAAGCGGAATTTGATTAAACGTCCTAGTAAAAGTGCGGACGAAGTACGTTCTTATCGAAGCCGTCTTCTGGCTCGCTTGAATAAATTTACCATGCGAACAGTTGTACCTGCAGCTTCTGCCATTGCCACAATGGAAGCACATGCTAGCGTCAAGGTACTCCCATCCAATTTGCTTAGCCCGTTAGCTGCAGACTTCGCACATGGAGAAATTCCATCCATTGTGGACAATAGTGACGTGCTACTCCAAAAAGCATGTCACCTTGCTCGTCGAATCAGTGATATTGAAAAGCTGAAACAGCGGCTAATACTCTCTGCCCTTACCTGGATCACAAGTGACGGGCGTGATCTAACAGTGCGAGCTCAGAGAATCGCGCTCCTTGCACGCCATGCTGAGCCATGTTTGATTGAACACTTTTCCGGAGTACGTGCACTTCTAACTCATTACTACCGTCCAAGGGTTCTCGTGCAAAAAATCAGTGACAAAGCGAGCTCCTCAAAGTTCACCTCTTCCTCTCGAGTAGAGCCTATTACAGCTGCCAGACTAACCTCGACGAATGAAGAGATTGTTCGTGCGATTGAGGCTGTATTCCCCAAAGGTCACCACCATCTAACATTCACATCAACTATAAATCCAGAGACATTTGGAGACGAACTTCGTTCGTCAGTAGACCGTAGCGTGTTATCAGATCCGATAGAAAACGGAATCCCTACCGCTGATGCAATAATTGCATTCCCCAACCTAGCCCTAACAAATGATGATGTGGAACTGAACCCAGCTGCAGTCAAACTACCGATTCTGCCTAGTATTGTATTAAATCCATTGTCTATCGATACTAGCCAGCTCGACTGGCTAAGCTATCAAATAAACCAGCGTGAATTTAATCTTCATGTCTTGAATACGGAAGAACCGGAAGGTGACCCTTACCGTCCGACAGACTCCCCAGTTTTTCCTAGAATTAAGGACCTGGAAAGTTATTCGCCTGATCAGTCCGAATACAATGAACCAAAACTTCAACGGGGTGACTTTGAAGAGCCTATTTGGGGGAACAGAACTCCGATCACAACACCCTATTCTAAAGAACCATTGTGGTCTCCCAGTTCAAGAGAATCAGAAATCAGCGAAATTGATGAATCGAGACCAAGCTCTACGTTGCTTCTCCACGAGAGGGTGAAACAGATGGACGATCGGACCTCTGCCTACGAGTTTACCATTGGGAAGTTATCTGAAGAGAGTAATAAAACAGGTTTTCTTGCCGCACCTTCCGCTCCGTATGGTGAAAACGCAACTGGATCTGAACGTGAAAGTCTCACACTAAAAAGTGAATTTAGCGCCGGTTCAGTCCATGGGACAGAGACACGATCTATCGTTGTAACCAGTCCCTGTGGTGAAGGAGAGGAGTCACAGATCAAACCCACGCACTCCATGGAACATAAACATCAGAATAGAGAAGATGGAAAGAGTTGGAACAGATCTGTTGTGAATGCTAAGAGTGCCTCAATCGTGAACACAAGACGGGGCAAGACATCTAAGGCATCTGGTAACATGGCGAAGAGGAGCACAATGGAGGGTAAAAAGACTGTTAAACAGCTGTGTAACCGAACTGCCCGTCTGTCCAGCTTACGGGATTTACAAGCCTCGTGATGAGAACGACTTTGTTACGGACGCAACTAGGAATGAAACGAATGCTTGTTTCCATTCTCGGTGTTCTACTTCTTAATTTGAATGCGGCAAACAGATTAGTTTATTTCTATAACTGCTATTTATTGAAAAGAGGTAGTGTAGGCTTGACGGCAGAACTTCGTTTATTCAGCAGTGGTGAGATAGTCTACTGGTTAAGATGCAAAGTTACTGAACGGAATTTCCGTGGTTCGAACCCAACCTCAGTCTCTTTACTGCTTCTGTCTAGGCTTGGGTCACCTGGTATTAGCTCAGCCCCGTGCTTCATTCGGGCGGCATGATAGTTTTGCAGTGAAGGAATGTTACAGCTGAACTATCATCCTCTTTGGTTTTATGTTTCCAATTTGAGAGTTTTGGACCACAAAAAAATTTGGTTCAGGTATATAACATGGAAGCAAACATCTGAAGAGGCTACGATACTGGTGTCATTACTCAATAGCTGTTTGTTGTGAATCACAAAGGCAGAGGAGGTAGACCCGTCCATTACAAAAGAAAGGAGTGGACTGGTTTCCGATCGTTCGCGTCAGTCGTCTCACTAAAAGCCTAAGTGGAGAGGTGTTCCGTTTGTAGGGTGGGGAAAACACTGTTTAAAACTCAGCTATTCAGAAATAAACGGCACTTTGGTGCTATTTTCTTACTGGCCTATCGTGTGGTGTCCACAATTCCGAGTAGGTTACTTTGATATCAGTCGTATCAGGTTATTAACGGACAAATTCATGGGTTTTAGTCTGGTCCGTTCGTGGCATATGATTCTACGGTCTGCCCGCACTTCTAACACATACTGCAAATTTGTTGATCAACTCACTTTGTCCGGTAGCCTGTTCCATGAAGAGCTAAGTCCACTGTCCCTTTTAAGCTTCATTATATTTATTGGTATTATTATACCCAAAATTAAATAACCCCGTCTTGTTCACTGGCCAGAGCGCTAAATTATGCTGTCTATCAAAGCACCAGACCTCAAAGTAGACTTTTTGTCAAACTAACAATAAGATTCTGCTGACGCGGAATTGTTATAGGACGAAGTTTCTCATATAACAGGGCAATAATGATGATGACTGATCATTCATTAAAGCCTTCTGAAGTGAATAAGCTATTCAGTGTTATTCGTGTAGTTTGCATTCGTAAATGAAAACTAACCGGTTTAGATAGTTTACTTTCAATCGCGAAAATGATTGTCAAACCACTCGACAGTTATCTCTCTTCAATTACCAGGAGAATAGTTTATAACCTTAACTAACACGGAGTAATCCCCGACTATTCAGAAAAAGCTTATACATCAGTATATATATATATATATATATATGTATATATAGTACCCCAACACTCAGCAATAAACAGTATTTTATGCATATCCTCAGACACGAAACTTGGTATCCTTGCGAACGAAATTTACGTGGTAAGCCTACAATTTCTTAGTGTCTGTAAGAAAGAATCACTGTAACGGTCAGCGTCATCATGAATAGCATGACATCATTATTCAACACTGGTACTTCGCTACGGTACAAGCATGATTTATTTGAAAGCCTTGTTGTGAAGAAAAGAATAAAGGTGGACGGGGGAAGGGACTGCTGGTTTACTACAACTACTCCGAGGCACCTCGAAGATGCCTCCAGACACTCATTCAGGCAATCCGGACAGAAAGTGACCACAAAACACCACTGATTTTGATTAGCAGCCATATCTCGCAGCATCTCCAACCAGCCGCAGTGGAGATCACGAGGTCCCCATCCTGGTAGACCAGTAGCACCGATAGCACCCAAACTTAAGTGATGAATTAGACGAGCTAAGTACACACATAGTACCCTTCTGGCCTACAGTTTCGAAGAAAAATTGTTTCAGTTTTAGAATTCATCCTTTACAGACAAGGAACATTTTGAATTCCAAAAGCTGAGGCGATCCTAAGCAGCCGCGCCGTAACCGAATACTTACAATCTTTGACCTTTGAGGGGACTTTCAACTTTCAACATGAGTTGCTTCAGTATATCTTTTGGTATAAAACAATACAGCATCCCTTGAGGGGACTTTCAACTTTCAACATGAGTTGCTTCAGTATATCTTTTGGTATAAAACAATACAGCATGGTTTCCGAAATTGTCGGTCCGTACATCGGGCAGAATCTACGGTTTCTGGCGCATTATCAAAGGTGACAGTTTATTTTGAATGAGATGGCATATCCATCAATGTCGGGCTTAAGGAGTTCCGTAATTTTGCCCCTTAGAAGAAATTTCCGCGTATGAGACCATGGCGGTTGGCCTGATTATGTTGCGGAAGCCTGCAAAGCAAATAAAGCCTAGTATTTTCGCATAAATGGACGGAAAATTTGGGATACTCGTTGATACGAGTTGGATCAACAGCATTATACGATAGCACACGAAATCATAAAGGACGTCATGTGTATTGAAGTTCGCTGATCTTGACAACTATTCTATTGGCCCAAGTGGAATTTCGCACTCATTCAGTGCTCTTCATCAAAAAATATGTTTTCTAGACTTTTTGCGTACCAGGGAAGAAATGCTTATATATACTATGACAGCTTCTTTGGAGGGTGGGTTCAAGAGTTGAATATTTCGAGTCCAGCGGAAGCATGGAAAAACCGATGAGTTTCACGCGTCATAGACCCTACTCATAAAATCTTCTCTGTGCAGGGCGTTGGGAGCCATAGGCCAGCAAAGATAGGGTGGTGCTGAACTCGGTGGATAGGGTTTCGAAACCAGACAATTTGCGTTACACACAGTTCCTCCAGTTCTGAACTTCGTTTTGCAGCAGATGGTCATGTTGTATATCCACTAGGAATATCAGCTGGACACTAACACCAACGCCTATCGTTCATGTCATCCGTAGAGGAAGGTACCAAAATACCTGTACAGGCAAACCATGCAACCCTATATTTGGCTTGTAACGGGGTGGTGTGTATCTGACTCATAAATCAGCTGCGTAAACCTTGTTGTTCCCAGGTAAAGTGGCCTCCTCGGTTGTCAGGATAGTATATATCTCTGTGGTCCGAAAACACGCACAGAAAATTGATGAACTTTCCAACTTGTTCGGCTGGTGTTATCAGATTTCGTTCAGATTAGCAAACCTTCACATTCTGCGTTCCAACATAATCCTTCAGTAGTATTTCTGGGTGTAATACCCCTGAAGAGTTTTTCTTTATATTCCCTTCACTAATATAGTTTGATTCGTGGAACGCTTCAAATGCACACGAATTTGTTGGTAGGACTGCATGAACTATGTCACCTATATTATCAATGCATCGATATTTCACCAGCAGTGCCCATACCTACTTTTTGGCTACCGGTGACATATAATCAGTAAATGTATTGAACCAACACTGTTCCTCGGTCTTCTCGGTTTCTCGCTATATGCATCAGTGCCACGTAAAGCCAGTTTATCTTGAGTCATCGACGATGCCTTCGCCCCAAGTTGCGCTGTGAGGTTTTGCGACGTCCACGATAGTGCCGACTGCCTAGACAATTTCCAGAAGACGTTCACCATAGTCCTGATGCTTCTACCACGTTCGCATTCACACCCACCGTGCCAGTGTGTCAGAGAATTATAATGCTTTTTTATTTCGTTTGTGTGATTGGTTTCCACCACATCGTCATCCACTCCATCTCGCTCAATTCGCACAGTATACCTGCTCCTCCCACAGGTAGGAAATGTGAAGCCCAGAGAATGCACCTCAGTGGACTTAGATACACCATGAAATGTTTTTAGCGAGATCTAATCCACGCCGACATCACGCTGGTCCAATAAAGCACAAACCAAGAGCAATGATCCGTGAGGAAATTATTAGTGCAAAACTCACCGGATCTTTTTTTCTGATCACAGATTTAAACTTCGTTGAGCCTCGTCCTACAGATCACGCTTGGAAGACTGTATTTCCGCAGTTAGAAACCTAGGGCGATTTCAACGATATATGGTGGTAACATGATGGTGCGTCTTCTTTGTACGCACAAAGCGTTCGGGATATTTTGAAGACAAAATTCTTTAACAAATGGATTGGTCAGGGAAGTCATGTTGGGTAGCGACAGCGACCGTTCAAACTTTAGATAAGTTCCAGTAAGTTCACCTTATGTAGGTGGTCCACTGGGACAGGTCATCTAAGCTGGAAAGATTGAAGACAAACGTTGTCGATAAATGTTGTCGGATAACACAATGAACACTGGAAAATATTGCAGCCAACTGTTTAATAGGTTTTGTCACTAACTTTATAACGGGGTCATTTTGATCACTTTCTAGATGAGCAGGTTTATGCTGATTCTCTGTTTTCCTTAATATATTTATTTTACTCCCAGAAAGATTACTTCACTGTCACTTCAAATTTGATATGGTTGTAATAAATCATCCGTGGGAATGTGCAACTTTTACTTTAGTTATAGTAAGCCGGTCAATTAGTTAATTGTGGATTTCGGTAGAAGTGGAGGGCGCACAAGAGTGTATTCGACACCAAAATGAGATTACTTGATTGAGTGGCTAAACAAACAGCCGTGTGGAAAAAACAAAGTTTTAGTCCCAGTTTGGAATAAGGCTGGCCATGACAGCAGCAATAAATGGGTAGAATGATTCTACGGCAATGTGGAAAGGATAAATGAGTGAATGATTCTACGGCAATGTGGAAAGGGTTGGATGCAAGAGGTGGATTGTGGAAGAGGTAAATGATCGTTGTTTGGACTGCATCAGGATCTAATAGCTTGATGGAAGGGGACCCTAACCAGGACATGAAAAAAGTAATGCACTAGCGAAGATCATTTCGATATGGGTTGACCAACAGAGATCCACTAAGCAGTGGACAGATGTCAGGAACTGAGGGGATATGATATCACAGCATTTACCAGACTCCAAACTGTAACTCTGGCATGACCTGCGTTCAGTATCAACAATAGACTGATTTCTGCCTTATCTTATTGTGTGTACATAGCGTTAGTAGCATTAACGCTTATTTACAGTTTAGGCTGGTA